TGACAGTGTCCCTGTCCCACCATGTCCGGGGTGACAGTGCCCATGTCCCCCAGTGTCCCCACCTTGGCCAGGAGGTGACAGTGCCCACGTCCCCGCCGTGCCGTGGGTTAAGGTGGCCACATCCCCCAGTGTCCCCTCCGTGGCCAGGAGGTGACAGTGCCCGTGTCCCGCAGGAGGTGATGGCAGACCTGGAGGAGAGCAAGTACCAGAACGCGGAGCTGCGCCTCTCCATCTACGGGCGCTCGCGGGACGAGTGGGCCAAGCTGGCGCGGTGGGCGGTGCAGCACCGCGTGCACTCCAACAACGTGCGCTGGCTCGTGCAGGTGCCACGCCTCTTGTGAGTGGGGGGACCCCCGGGACCCCCAGGGACCGGCCCCGCCCCCTGCCCCACCTCCCCGTTCCTGCCCCCCACCCTGCCCCACTGCCCCATTCCTGCCCCCCACCCTGCCCCACTGCCCTGCTCCTGCATTCCCACCCTGCCCCACTGCCCCATTCCTGCCCCCAGTTCCCGCCCTCCAGTTCTCTGCTCACCCGATCCCATCCCCAATTCCCATTCAGCCCCATTTGCCCGTTCCAATCCCCAATTCTCCAGTTCCCCCAGCCCCAGTTCCCTCCCCAGTTCCCCCATTCCTCCAATCCCATCCCCAATTCCCCTATCCAGCCCCATTTGCCTGTTCCCATCCCCAATTCCCTTGTTCCCGTTCCCTACTTGCCCATTCCCATCCTAAATTCCCACTCTGCCCCCATTTGCTCATTCCCATCCCCAATTCCCCAGTTCCCCCAGCCCCAATTCCCTCCCCAGTTCCCTCATTCCTCCAGTCCCATTCCCAATTCCCATTCAGCCCATTTGCCCGCTCCCATCCCCAATTTCCCAATTCCCAGCCCCTGTTCCTCCATCCCATCCCAAATCCCCGCTGGCCAGGCCGTGGCCAGGGATGGTCCCAGCCATTCCCATTCCCGTTCCCATTCCCACAGTGACGTGTACCGCACCAAGGGGCAGTTGGCCAACTTCCAGGAGATGCTGGAGAACATCTTCCTGCCCCTCTACGAGGCCACGCTGCACCCGGCCCAACACCCGGAGCTGCACCTCTTCCTGGAGCACGTGAGTCCTGCCCGGGGGGCCAGGGACCCCCAGCCCAGGGGGAGGGTGTCACCCCCAGCCCAGGGGAGGGTGTCACCCCAGCCCAGGGGAGGGAGTGTGTCACCCCAGCCCAGGGGGAGGGAGTGTGTCACCCCAGCCCAGGGGAGGGTGTTACCCCCGGTCTGGGGGGAGGGTGTCACCCCAGCCCAGGGGAGGGTGTCACCCCCAGCCCAGGGGAAGGTGTCACCCCCAGCCCCAGGGGAGGGAGGGTCACCCCAGCCCAGGGGAGGGTGTCACCCCCAGCCCCAGGGGAGGGTCACCCCCA